GAAAAGAAGAAGTCAAACTGTCACTATTTGCTGATGATATGATAGTTTGCATAATGCTATCCCCAAAAATGCTACCAGGGAACTCCAACAGCTGATAAACATCTTCAGCAAAGTGGCAGGATACAAGGTTGACTAAAAAAAAAATTAGTGGCCCTCCTATATACAGATAACAAACAGGCTGAGAAGGAAATCAGAGAAACATCACCCTTTACAATAGCCACAAATAACATAAAATATCTTCGGTAACCCTAACCAAACAAATGAAACACCTATATGACAAGAACTTCAAGACTTTAAAGAAAGAAATTAAAGAAGATATCAGAAAATAGAGAGATTTCCCCTGCTCTTGGATAGGTAGGATCAACATAGTAAAAAATGGCAATCCTACCAAAAGTAATCTACAGATTCAATGCAATCTCCATCAAAATCTCAGCACAATACTTCACATACCTTGAAAGAACAATACTCAACTTCATATGGAAAAACAAAACAAAAACCTCAGGATAGCCAAATGTATCCTGTACAATAAAGGATCAACTGGGGGCATCACCATTCCTGACTTCAAGTTCTACTATAGAGCTGTTGTTCTGAAAACAGCTTGGTATTATCATAAAAAACAGACAGGTGGACCAATGGAATCGAATCGAAGACCCCAATATCAACCCCACACCTATGAACACCTAATTTTTGACAAAGAAGCTAAAAATATAAAATGGAAAGAGGAAAGTATATTCAACAAATGGTGCTGGCATAACTGGCTGTCAACATGTAGAAGAATGCAAATAGATCCATGTCTATCACCATGCACAAAACTCAAGTCCTAATGGATCAAAAACCTCAACATAAATCCATCCATACTGAACCTAATAGAAGAGAACGTGGGAAATACATTTGAACACATAGGCACAGGAGACCACTTCCTGAACACAGCACCAGTAGCACAGACACTGAGAACAACAATTAATAAATGGGATCTCCTGAAACTGAGAAGCTTTGTAAGGCAAAGGACACAGTCAACAAGACAAAACAGCTCCCTACAGAATGGGAAAAGATATTCACCAACCCCACATCTGACAGAGGGCTGACCTCCAAAATATACAAAGAATTCAAGAAACTAGACATTAAACTACCAAATAATCCAATTAAAAATGGGGTACAGATCTAAATAAAGAATTCTCAACAGAACAATCTCAGGCAGAAAGACACTTAAGGAAATGCTCAACATCCTTAGTCATCAGAGAAATGCAAATCAAAACCACTCTGAGATGCCATCTTACACTGATCTGTAGATGCACAGATTAAGATTCAGGGGAGCAGGTTAAATGTACAAACTTGTACAGCCACTGTAGAAATCAGTATGGCAATTTCTCAGAAAATTAGGGATTAACCTACCTCAAGACCCTGCAATACCACTTTTGGGCATACACCCAAAGGAGGCACATTCACACCACCAGGACATTTGCTCAACTATGTTCATAGCAACATTATTTGTAATAGCCAGATCTTGGAAACAGGCTAGATTCTGCCCCTCAACTCAAGAACGAATCAAGAAAATGTGGTACATTTACACAATGGGGAACTACTCAGTGGTAAGAAACAATGAAATCCTAAAATTCATAGGCAAATGGACAGAACTAGAAAAAAATCATTCTAAGTGAGGTAACCCAAAACCAGAAAGACAAATACAGTATTATTCATAAGTGGATACCAGACATAAAGCAAAAGATACCCAGCCTATAATCCATAACCAGAGAGAAGCTTGAACCCTATTCCAGAACAGATGGAAGCAGATGCAGAAATTCACAACTAACCATTGGGCCAAGCTCCTGGAGTACAATCAAAGTGAGGGAGGAGCAAAAATATGAACAAAGGAGTCAAGACCATGATGGGGAAACCCACAGAATCAGCTGACCCGAGCTAGTGCGAGATCACTGACACAGGCCTGACAAATGGGGAACCTGAATAAGACTGAACTAGACTCCCTTAATATAGGTGACAATGGTGTGACTGGGACAATATATGAGGCCACTGGCAGTGAGTCCAAGACCTAACAATAATATACAAACTGACTTAGTGGAGCCCATTCTATATGGAGAGATACCGTGCCCAGGCTAGACACAGGGGTGTGGGGGGTGGAGAGGTGCCTTGGTCCTGCCTCAACTAGATGATGGGACAGATTTAGTAGACTTCCTAGGGGAGGCCTTCCCCTCTCCTTGGAGCAGATGGGAGGAGGGAGGGAAAGGAGGAAGTGGGAGGGAAGGAGGGAGGGGGAACTGGGATTGGAATACAAAAATAAGTTTTTAAAAAAAGGGCAAAAGTCTCACCTGCATGTGAGTCACTGTCCCTATTGCATGCTGACACACACCTCTGCTGCCTCTTCCAGGTCAGTCAGACAGAGCACAGGGCACCCATGAGAGTGACAGGCCCAGCCAGCCACCGCCTGAGGCAGCAGCAAGAGATAGTTTTCAGATGAGGCATGGACATGGTAATAACAGGGCAAGCCTCACTGGGAGACACGGGGGCAGCACTCAGCACAGCACTGCCAGGAGCTCTCCAGCACAGGGCAGAACTGAGAAAACTCGGGCACGCCCCTTGACAGCCTCCCCGTGCTCAAGGGCCCCTCTGAAGAGCTAATGGGCACATCAGGAATGTGCGGTTTCTGGTAGCAGGAAGCACACAAAAATGTACCGCTTATGCATAGCTCTGTGTGCTGACCGCCTCCAAAAGATCTACCTGTCGTGTACACAACATACTTCCAGAGCTCAAGACCGCTCACTTCATGCTTTGGCCCCCATATCAGATCAATCATTCAAAATTATCACTTGCCGAGTTTGGTTAGACTACTGAAGAGTGTTCAGAGCCGTGGGACATGACTCTTCCTTGTTGCCATTATAAAATGTGTGCAGCCAGACTGTTGGGATGCATTCCCACGGAGACGGTGTGGCAGCAGGCTCCCGGCACAGGGTCCTAACCGTCCTGTTAAATCCCCATGAAGGAGGGACAGACACATCGTTCAGTGCCACACGTGGAACCATTTCTCACTTGAAAACCATATAATCTCCAACATATTTTACTATTCATGGTGTATTATTTTCAAATGGATCTTGATTTTAATAATCAATTTTAATTTCCTGCACAGGACCTAGAGGCCATGACCGGCGTTACCAAGCAAACTCGCTTGGGATCAGCACTGGGGAGGGGGCAGGAGGAAGGTCTGAGGCCCTCTAGGACCTGACACTCCACTGATTCCATTCTGCCACTGAACTATTTGCAAACAGACCCAGGGTGGGTGGTGTGAGCATCCCCACAGTTTGATCTGGAGACCCTGCATGTGTCCACACTCCCTCTTGATGCGCTGAGTTTTCTGGCTGCCCTTGAGTGGGGCTGTGGAAGCCAATGTCGGCCAGGCCTGAGATGCCGCGTCAACCCTTTGGAGCCCCATCGTTTAGTCCCGTACCAGGTGCTCAGTAAGACTCAGAAAGTGCCCCCGGCTCGCCCTGAATTGGGGTGAAATGTTTCCAAGGGCAGGGAACAAGTGGGTTGGTTAAGAACAGCCAGTGTGCCACCACAGTCACTGTGTCTACCACATGCTTGTTTGCAGGCTAGGTTGACCACAGGACAAAGCTGGTGTCTCAGTTTTGGAGGCTGGCCTGGACCCCCGTGTTTTGGCAGCTTTTTCTGTTACCTGGAATCTATGGCCTCCTGGAAGCTATGCAACAGCAGCCAAGTGAAAGGACCTCCACCTAGTGTTCCTCCTGAGCCACAGGAGTTACAGCTACATCAGAGGGACCTGGTCTGGAGAAGCCACGGTCCGGGCTCTGACGTACTAACGAGTCCACAGCAAGAGTAAGCAGGTGTCCACCCCACCAGAGAAGGTAACTGCAGTGGGCAGCACTCAGGGTTGCTATGTTGGGTGCACGGCCAGGTGTAGGGCCAAGTGCAGGGTCTGGGGGGGGGCTTTCCAACAGCAATAAAACAGCTACCCTGCTTCTACTCAACACTGGGAACTAAACATTCCTCCCCAGATCTTCAGCTGCTTGAAGTCTGAGCAATTTCTGTGGTCACGTTGTTTTAACAACACCAACACGGTCTACCACACTCACCCAACTTTATGGTTTCACGACTACCTTTAAGAGCCTGCTCTTTGTGGGTAGAGAAAAAAGGCCACTGGCCCTAGCCAGACTCAGCTAACCACCCACTTGCGAAGGCTACAGGGGCAAGACTACTGAGCTGACAGCAGCGCAGGGATATCTGTGCCTCAGTTGTAGCCCAGAAGCTCAGCAGATGAGAAGAGCCGACTGACCCCAGCGTCCACTGTTCCCCCGTTGGAGTGTGGTGTTTGAGACATTTTGATGCACAGATATGTGAAGGCGGTTAAAATGGGTTTCAGAGATCTGAGCACATGGCCAGCGCTGCAAGTTCTAGAATGTGAACTACGACTTTTTTTTAAGGAGCCTCTGTTATCCATTGCCCGGGATAACAGAAACTCCTCAGTCGGTCCCTGCTCTGGGGTTCTGAGCATGGACAGACAAACAGCCCTGGTTCTCATGTGTATCCAACACAGATACGTGCAGGTTGGATGAAGTCAAATTCACAGGATGAGAGACCTAGACAAACTTCCTTAATGCCACAGTCCATTAGCAATTAGCAGAGACTGAGATGGAAGCTGGTTTTGTGGGTTTTTTTCCCTATTAAAATACATTAATGATATTTGAAGTGTTAATATGCTGCCGCTCTCTTTATTTGGACTAGAATATTTTTCTTTTCAAATTTTTCAACTGGCAAGATAATATGTGTGGAATTCAATAAAAGAGAGTGTTTGCTATTGGGGTTATTTTTAAACTTGTATTATTAGTTCCATTCCCTGAGTAGTCCTGGAAATAATTGTGTTGGATTGAAGAGGAAGGATTTGAAATAAAACAGCCGCCCACCCCTGATACCTAGTGCACTAGGTACCTGAACACACTGGTCTGAACTGCACCCCAAAACCCACATCTCACCTTCCCTTTGATGCTGAGGCCACCAGTGTCATAGACGATGCCCTTGCCCACCCAGGCGATGGTCTGTGTGGCCCCATCAGGGGTGTGGCTGAGGACGGCCAGAGCAGGCGGATGGAGGGCAGCTTTGCCAACCCCGTAGATTCCTGGGCAGGGAAAGGGAGAGTGTGAGGTACAGGCTCGCCAGTGGAGACTTCCAGGGGCCCTGTAGACTCTGGTGCTGGTCCACACTCTTGCTGAGCAACCGTGGATGGATCTCCCTCCCCCTGCCCTGCTAGTATGGGATGAGGGAATGCAGATCCACTCCGACATCTAAGACTGCAAAGTATTGTTCGGGGAGAAACTCGCTGAGGGAAAAAAATACCGTATCATACCCAGGAGGAAACGAACAGGAGGACTACAGAGTGAGCTGATTCTTGGATGCCCGTCAAGGCCTCTCCCGCCCACGTGGGTCCCCCTGCCCTGAGCCTCCCTTCTCCAGTCGGCTCCCATGGTCTCTGGAAAACCACTTCCCTCGCTCATTTTCTGCTTACACACTCCCAACTTCCCAAAGAAAGGGGCCTGCTTGAGTCAGAGAGAGAGGTGGCTTTGAGAGACATGTAGGTCAGGACAGCCCCACTGCGTGCATGTCACAGGAGAGATGCTCTGTATGGAGACCGCTATCTCTGGGATGCCATAAACGGTCATGAATTTGTGTATTCGAGGAACAGAAGGCCCTGCTGCGCTGGCTCTGAGCAGGGGTGCAGAAGGCAGGAGGAGGCCACAGCAGGGTTAGGACATGGGTCTAGTGGTTCCCAGGATCAACATCAGAGCCTGTAAGGCTGCCTCTGCCTCCCAATCCAGTCTTCAACTGGAACCAAGGCTGATTCCCTTCAGGTCCCAAGCAGGACGAAATGGAGGGCCCTATACCAAATGCCCCCACTGCCAGCCCTACCACCTGGTGCCCCCAGTCTCTCCTGGAGCGGGAGAGCTGTGGGAGGGCAGGTCTACACACCTCCAAATCCTTTGGTCTTCAGCTGCTCATCCCGGATGATGGTGGGGATGATCCCCAGCTCCTTTCCAACTTGGCTAATCTCCTGGACATATCCATGGAAAAAACAACAGGAGACACATGAAGAAGGCTTAACTCAAAGCAAGGCTGGGCTTCACACCAAAGATGAGTCTACCCATGGCTGTGCGGTGGGAGAGGAACCACCTCAGAGGCCAGTGGCTGCTCCTCTCATGATCAAGCCTGGGGGTGGGGAGAAGGGGGACCCTGCATATTTAGTTTCTTGTAACTGGTGGTCCCTATCCTACAGATGGGCAGCCCACAGTCTCAGCTGAGGATGCTGGTCTTTTGGAGCAAGGACTCCAGAATTTGATGGAAATGGCCCTGGGATATCTGGGCCACAGAAAGTACAAACTTGAGGCATCCTTGGCCTCTCCTTGTGGTCTAGACACCCCCCCCACACACACACCTCAGCTTGGCCCCTCTTCAAGCAGAGGGCCACGAACCTCAAGGAAGATGTCTGTGTTCATCTCATTGCATGGTGTATCCACAATGCGTGCAGCTAGGCGCACACCTTCCGTGGCGCTGGTCAGACACTAGGAGAAAAGAAAGCGCTCATCACTGGGGCCCAGGGACAGGGTGGGAAGGAATGTCCTTTCCTCGTCTAGTTCCCTCAGAGACCAAAGACTTGAAACTCATAAGACCCTAGGGAAATGCTTCAGGCTCCTCATAGGCATGGGGAGGAGGTGGGAGCAGGAGCTTTGGAGATCCCATACACATGACCCCAGGGGGTTGAGGGGTGCCTTCCATGAGTCCCTTGGAGGTACAGAGGTCCACCACCCGTCTTCCTTGTCACTGAACAGCCTACTGGGGCATGGCTGTGGAAGGTACGGGACCAAGCTGTCTTAGGGAACTCACGAGTCTGAGAGACCCAGGAGAAGACAGGAACCTGGACCACGGAGCCCAGCAGACCCGTGGCCCTGTGCCACTAAGGACAACTCCAGTAGTGACTGAAGATGCTAGCTGTATCCAGAGCAGGGTGGTCCCGTGTCTTGGCAGAGGCACCGCCGCCCTAGGCCCCTGCCTGCCCACGCATGTCTGCCACAGGGCCTTCCTTAGCTGACTAGCACACCTATACTTTCCTTTAATCTCATGTACGTCAGTGCCTGTGTGCTGGCCAGAAGAAACGGATGCTCGGGGGCTTGTGGGGGCGCAGGGCGGCAGCTTGAGGGTTCATTACCACCTCCCCCGGACTTGTGTGTCAGGAGGGCAGGCGCAGGTCGATTCTGCCAGCCGGCCACCGCCCCCGCTGTCTGATCACCACGATGACAGTCACCGCCTGTCCCAGGTAATTAAACCTCGAAGGCTCCGAGACCTGGGAGCTGACAGCTCAAATATGAGCTGTGCCGGTGAGGCCCCTGCCACCCGTCAGCAGTCGCAGTCGGCGGCCTGCGTGGGATGTGTGTTGGGTCGAGAGCCGGCCTCGAGGGGGGGGGAGGCGTGACCCTGCAGACCCTCCACAGGCACAGAGCTCCACAAAGCAATGAGTGAGGGTGAAGAGAATAGAAGCCTTAGTTTTCACACGACAGGAGAAGCAGCAGCTGTTTGCTCCTCATGAGAGAGAGGCCTGCTACGCGTCAGGCAGACTCTCAGATGACTGCGGGGCAATGCCAGGAAAGCTAGGGGGAAGCAACAAGTTAAGGTCTGCAGGACCCAGAGCTCTAGGAATGGGGGCTGAGGGGACGCCCTGCTGAGGAAAGGGGAAGAGGCAGCAGACCGCCACAGTGTCCAAACATGAGCACGCCGGGTAGTGCAGAGCGGGTGGGGGTGGCCGGGTGTACAGGGAGCAGGGAGGGCTACGCTCAGGCTTCCAGGCTGGGGTCTAGGAGGTGGGCCTGCAGCTCAGAAGGAACTCCCTAGACAGGTGAAGTCCAAGGGCAGCTGACGCCTCCCAGAGTAGAGACGGTGAGGCCAGAGGGGAAGGGAACGCAGGAGGATGAAGGGCAGGTTGGGGAAGGCAGCTGGGAGTCAGGGGCTTGAAAGTCAGTCGGCCTGTGCCCCTCAGAGACAGAGGAGGGGCCAAAACCAGGCCAGGTGGGTGGGCAGAGAAAGGAGGTTAAAACAAGCAAAGTGACTAGACAGTTTTCAAGGATACAGAAAGCAGATTCAAGATGGCGGAGGTGGAGCCTGCCTTCCTAACCCTGTCAGGACAAAGGCTCCGAGTAGGGGCTTGCTTGGGGCTCCAGGTGACAGCCTTCCTGAGAGCAAAGTGGAGGGACTAGATGGCCTCTGACTGTTAGGTGAAGTGAAGAGAAAGCAGTAGGATTGGGGGCGGCTGGGTGGGAAGACAGCCTCAGGCCAGGCGCCTCCTCTGACTGACCCATTTCCAGCCCGCCCTAGTTTACTCAGGCTTCAGTGAGACAACACGCCCTAAAGCGCTCCCCAACCAAGGGTAAAAGCATCGTGGACTCAAAACACAACTGCCCCAGGTGCTGAGCGGGCACTTCCACAAACACTAATGGAACCAACACACCACACAGCATCCTGTAGGAGAGAGAACCCCCCCACCGCTGTTTTGGGAGCCAATGAAAAGCACTGTAGCTCTTCTCTGGGGGAAGGGAGGGGAAGAGCTCTCCACCTGCCCTCCAGACACCCACTTGCAAGGTGGACACTTCCACCGGGCCATTGTCTTGTCCCACCAGGAAGAACTCCACCATGACGGTCTTCTTCTCTGTGCGCCGGGACGCCCCTGAGCGGTGTGTGAAGAGTGGGAAGGCCCGGGCCAGGGCACAGGCGGAGGCAAAAACCTCAGGCTGTTCACACACCATCTGTAGTGAGAGAGAAGCAGGGTGGGGCGGAGGCTGCGGAGGGATGGCCACCAGGACTGGCCCACCCACACACCAGCTCGACTGTGGGCAAACCCAGAGAGGGCCTGTGATCCACCGTAACCTGAGGCTACACGAGAGAAAAAATGTCTACCACCAGACGGTGTCCGCCCTTTCCCAGACAGAAGAGCAGGCGCAGACTGTCAAGCCCAGGCCTCGACCAACCTAAGCTGGTCCCTCTGACTTGTCAAGCAGATGGATCTGGTATAAAGCACTCTGTGGCTGAAGAGTTAGGAATGGGAGGTCACGTGCACGCTCTGGCCTGAGGTGGGCCACTGGCCCTCGGAGTACCCTGAAGGGCCAGCACAGCGGGGACCCTTGCTCAGCACTCACCAGGATGCACCGGTGGGTTCCAGGAGGCAGGCAGGTTCGCACAAGCCTGGTGATGAAGTGGGCAGCCGAAGGGCTGTTGTGCCGGCTCACCCTGGAAGGCAGGGCTGCCACCGTGGCACAGTTCAGGTGGAGGGGGCAGCTGTCCGTGGGGTTGGGGTTGAGCGTGGCCAGAGCCGCCTGCCAGAGCTAGATTAGAAAGGAGACACGAGACAAGACCGGGCTTCAAAAACGTGTGTTGTGCCTGGAGATGCCCTCCTTGGCCACGCCTGCTTGCCTAGAAGCCGTGTGTGTGTGTGTGTCTGTCTGTCTGTCTGTCTGTCTGTCTCCCTTCCATCCTCGTGGGACTGTGCCTCTTGTGTGTGTGTGTGTGTGTGTGTGTGTGTGTGTGTGTGTGTGTGTCTGGCTGGCTGGCTGGCTGGCTCCCTTCCACCCTCATGGGACTGTGCCTCGAGTGTGCGTGCATGTGTGTGTGCGTGCATGTGTGTGTGCGTGCGTGTGTGTGTGTGTGTGTGTGTGTGTGTGTGTGTGTGTCTGGCTCCCTTCCACCCTCGTGGTACTGCGCCTTGGGCTGGCAAGGCCTGTCTGGGGGACCCTCTGCTTCAAACGCTCAGAAGCCCGGCTCCTGGGCCTTGGCCACTCTCCACAGAAGCGGGTCTCCAGGCCAGAGGCCACACGAAAGGCTGCCACTGGGTTTTCTGGAAGGCCAGCCCGGCGGTACGGAGTGCAGGTGGCTCGGCCTGGCTAGGCCGGGGACACAGGCCTTCGGGACAGTCGGCCTGGCCTGTCGCGGGGCCTGCGCCCAGGGCCCGGCGGGGCGCGCGGGCGAGGCGGGGCCTGTGTCGCGGGGCCTGGGCTTGGCAAGCGCATGGCGGCCGCGGCCCGCTCACCTCCTCGGTGACCCGGGGCTGCAGCTTCCCGCGGACGTGGCTCCAGGGCACGCGGTGCAGGTGTTGCAGCTGGCCCAGCAACAGCAGGGGCCGGCTCTGGGGGTCCGCGTCCCCGGCGCTCGCCTGGAACTGCAACCCCACGCTCGCCATCTCCCCCACCCTGCCCCGAGCCCCCCAGGCCGGGCCGCCCAGCACCCTGCGCCCAGCTCCGGCCCGGCTCGGCGCCGCCCCGGCCCGCCCGGCCTCGGCGCCCCGCCTTCGCCGCCGCTGCCGGGCCGCGCCGCCCTGCAGGGCCCACCCGGGGCGCGAGGGGGCGCCGGCGGAGGCGGGGCGCGGGCCCGCACTGCGCCTTCCGGGCCACCGTTGGGGGCGAGTGGCGTGCGAGCCCCTGGAACCGCTCCAGCTCCCACCGAGGCCCGCCTTCCAGTAGGTTTCCTGGACACGATGAAGCCTCCCTTGCCAGGGGCTGCGGTGGCTCCTGGGCCGGACAAGTAGGCATTCAGGTCCCTCTTTTCTCAGCCTAACCCTTGCCAGAAAGGTCACCGTGCAGCAGTGCGAGCAAGCTGCCCTTGCAGCCTACACTTGGTCACCTGTGTTGGGGAGGAAAAGTTGGCCATGTGGGGAGAGGTTATGGGAGGTCACCTGAAAGGAGCCAGCCGCTGCTACCCAACGCTGCCCAGGTCTTGACTGCCCCAGACACGGTGCTGGTACCCCTCAATGACCTCCAGGCTTACATATCAGCCTTAGTCTTAATTTCTTCTTTATCATCAGCCTTTACACGTAGCAAAGCAATCTGGCTCAGAGAGAAAAGGAGGACCGAGGACCTGAGTTCTAACTCTGGATCTAGAAGGAGCAAAACCAACATCCATAAGTTATCCATTTACTGAGAGATATTTACTCATACCTACATCCACAACCATACACACACCCAAAGAGAGAGAGACAGAGATAGAGATAGACACAGAGACAGCAAAGCCAGACTCACAGCATGGCGTTCCATACGGCTGGCCCTGAAGGCACCACTCACCTTTTCTAACTACCCACAAGCCATCTGTGGTGTCCATTCCCTCAGGTGGAAGGGTTCTGTGGCAACACACAGGCCAGAGCAGGCCAGCCCTGAAGACAGGCAGGAAGGAGTGCCACAAACCAGTAGCTGAACCAGCAGAGGGAATTCCTTTGAAACACTCACTGGCTTTCCTGACACAGAAGGCAACACTAATTGGATCTTATTTTCTTGAAAAAGATTTTTTTACAGCAACTGAATGTTTTCACACATTTGTAAAGGGTACTAAGTGTTCCTCGAAGATCTATCTTGATTTTACGGTGTTTGCAAATACAGGGAGAGGCACCAGGCACTCAGGAGGGGGTGGAGACGACTTGAGATCTACCTGGAGGGCAACAGGATCAAGGCAGTTCACAGCAAGCTGTCCCCTGCAGGAATGACATGGGGGGGGGGGCAGGTTGGGTGGGGGGATGGGCATGATGACGGGGCGCAAAATGGAAGTCTGGATAAGAGCAGGAATTGATTGGCACTGGAAGTGAGCAGGGGGTCTACTCACTCTATGGATTCTACAGCCCACAGAGAGCCAAGAAGCACTTGGGGTTGGGGAGATGGGTTGGTGCCTAAATTATTTCCCATACAGGACCATGAGGGTCCGAGTCCGAACGCCCAGCACTCATGTAAAAAGATGGGCTGTGACCCCAGCACTGGGGAGGTAGAGGCTGGAGGATTCCTGGAGCTCGCTGAATAGCTAGTCTTACCCAATTGGTTAACTTCAGGTTCAGTGAGAGATGGCTCTTGTCACCAACCTAAAGACCTGAGTTCAATTCCCAGGTCCCTCATGGCAAGGAGAGGACCAACTCGGGTGGGTTGTCTTACACCTCCACGAGTACTGGGTCACACTCAAGCGTATACACAAACGGAAAGTAAATCAGCTGTAAAGAGAAAAATCTGCCCAAGAAACAAACACAAAGATGGAAACTCACAAAGGAAAGACACCTAAAGTCAACCTTTGACCTACACACACACACACACTCACACTTCAGACAGTAGGGCCTGGCGGCCTTGTGACAGGGAGCTGGAGGAGAGAGGCTACTCATAGGTCACCTGAAACACTTTCAGACCCCCCCCCCCCCCAATGAATGAATGACCTCTGTGACCACACTGATGTGTGAGAGGGCTTGAGTTGAGCATTTACTGAACATTTACTACACACACAGCAAGGCAGAACGTCAGATGTCTCATATGAGCAAGTATTCTCTATTCCTGGTTTTATGCCACCCCCTGAACTGAAGGAATCCAAACCAAACAGCACATTCCACGTTGGAAGTCTACCGGTTTCTTCAAGATGACACGTGCATGTGACAGATGCAAGTCTTAGGAAACCACTTTCCCCCACAGCAGACTTCATAGACATTAACATAAGCAAGATGGGGGCGCTTTGTTTACAAAGATTTATACAAAGGTGTTACCCCACGCCTCAGGATACACCTTGTTGTCAAGGAAAAATTCAACCTCTACCTAATTTTCTTTTTTTTTTTAATTAAAATTTAAAACAAATGGCCAAATCTTGCAACCCAACATTTTGCAACTTACAATTCTGATGACTTGAAACTTGTTCCACACCCAACAGGGACATTCAGCTGCAGCTCAGAAACAACAGAAGAGTTGAGAAGCTTCTGGAAGGAAAGCAGAGTAAAGTTGTCAGGAGTTATTCAGTCACACTCTAGGACATGGTTCTGAAACGCTTATGTGGCGCCTAGGGCCGTTTAGACTCACTGACCCACAAGTTCTCTCGGTGCTAGCGTATCTTCTAGCGTGAGAATGCAAGCCTCGTGGTTTCTGGCATCTTCGTTCCTTCACCTGTCACGTCTGCATTCGCGTATCTGGTGCTGGCGACTGAGTCCCAAGGCCCTCACTGTGTTAGGCAAACACTCTGCCACTGAGTCACATCCCTAGATCTCTTCATGTGTCACTTTGAGACAGGGTCTTGACATGTCACTAGGTCTTAAGCTCATCTCTAACCTAAGGTTGGCCTTGACCTTGCAATCCTTCTGCCTCAGCCTTCTCAGTCCAACATTTACCTAGCAAACATCCATCTTGAACAGTCCTAGGCCCTGCTGGCTCCAAAAAGAATAGCAGTGTGTGACAGGTGCCTAAGGGTGTGGATGGGAGGGAGGGGTCACAGCAATGGAACCCAGAGACATCGATGGGAGAGGGCTGAGGTAGCGAAAAGGTCCTGTGGACCGGAATAGACCTTTGGCTTGAGGGATGAGCTGAAGTTTGCTGGCAGTCTGATCCCGCTTCAGGTAGTAACCATTCACAGGGTGCCCGGGATGGTAAAGGACACAGTTCACTTAGGACGTCTGAGCTCACAGACTGGACCCAGCACATGCCTAAGACGCACACTCAACCCTTGTACACCAACTGGAAGAGCCTCACTCAGGACTCACGGGAAACAGTCACCGTTGCTGGCTGACAGTCATTTACAGGGTCAGCATAAAGGAAGTGGAGCCAGGTCTGGTCTGGCGACACCCACCCTCCTGAAGCCACCAACCTAGATGTGAGCCCAGCTCAGCAAAGGCCAGATGTTCTCGTGGCCCTCTCCGAGTTCCTCAGGATGAGGAAAGGCCTTGGCTGAGGTAACCGGTGGTTCCAGAAGGTTCACTTTTGCTCACACAAGAGTCCCCCTGAAGAAAGAGGAGCTCACTGCTGTGGAAAACACATTTCTCTAGAACATTAAAAAAAACTTCACTAAGGAAAGTCAAAAAACTAGTACAATGAGAACATGCTTGTGTCCTTCAGCAAGACCATGTATGTTTATAATCTACACATAGTCATGTGTACACGTAGGTGAGCATGTATTTTTTTTCTGCATTTTTCAAACAAATTGCACATCCTTCTCCTATGACCCTCAGACTGTCTTGGGACCGAGGGCACTGGATGGACCACACCATCCCAGCAAGAGCCCATTTAGACCCCTGCAGAGCCGACACCCTACCCTCCAGCAGCCTTCCTTGTTGTCCTCAGACAGCCTCTGCGGCTTTTGCCTTTAACATCCAGAATCCAAGCAAGGATCAGGTGTTCCATTTGGCTGTCAGGTTCTCTAGTCTCCCTAAATCCAGGATAATCCCCGCCTCTGCCTCTCACAACGAGGACATGTCACGTAAATGGCCCCCAAGTTTGCCCTTGTCTGCTTCCTCACGATTAGATTTGGGTTAAAAATGTTTGGCAAAAATCTTTATTATGCTTTCCACTGTCCCTCACGAGGAGGCACAGGATCTAAGTGTCACTTATGTTTGGCTTAAGTGGGGTCTGAGGGATCTCTTCACAGAAAGAGGACAGTTCCCCTTTATAAATGATAGAATTAAAAGCCAATGTCTGCTTCACAAACCAAATTCTGCCATTCATAACCACCTTCTGTCATTTATTCTTACAGTTTTTTTTTCCCCCAGACAGGGACTCATATTCTAGGATGTTCTTGAACTCGTGTACCTGAGGTTGACCTTGACCTTGATTCTTCTGCCTCTCCACCCCTCCCCAAAGCCCCCCAGTGCTAGGATTGCTGGTGTATGCCCTTACTGGCTGGGAATAAACTCAGGGCCTCATGCACGCTAGGCAAGTGCTCTACCAACTGGGCCACAGTGGCCACTTCCCTCGCCCTGGCCCGCATTGTTGGCCCTTTCCTCAGGAGGGACAAAAGAAACTAACTGCGGTGTTGTTTTGTTAATTTGGTGTTCTGAACCCAGGCACCAAAGCAGACCTTTGTTTCCATCCACAGTGAGGGGCAGAGACTATCTCCCCACTAGAACCTTTCTCTTGTCCTAACGCCAGGCCTGGAGGGACACTTTGGGGCTGCTAGGATGTCCTGGTGCTCGGGGTCTTTAGTATGAGTGGTGATCCAACGCTAGTCCCATACTAGGTGCAAATGATGGTCCTGTGGCTTCAACCTGTGGGCTGTTATTTCCAGCTATTTCTGAGCAGTGGCCTCCTTCTCGCTCCCTAGGACTGGCTGCATCATGCAGACCCAATGCAGAATGAAAATGCAGAATTTCTGCCTCCAAAAGGAACAAGGTAGGGAATTGTATCAGGCACAAGGCCCTCGGGCCCCAGCGCCCTGCCTTCATGTCCTAAAGAGCACTGCCTGCCTTCAACACGGGGGCTCAGGCCAT